AAGAATCAGAAAATTGGAAAATCGAATAAAAGAAAATTCTAAAAGCCAATAACTGAAAAATGGAAACATTTTTAAATCGTAAAATCGAAAAAGTGGAAATTTAAAAAAATTGTAATACTTATTCTGCCTACATTTGAAATGAAAACTAGAAAAATTGCAAAATCATGAAGCTGAAATATGTAAGATTGGAGAAAACGAAAACCTGAAAACCGAAAAATGAAAAAATCCAAAAATTGAAAGATTTCAAATTGAAAAATAAATTGTAAAATATTGAAAAACCGAAAATTTGAAATTAAGAAAGTAAATAAGAAGCCGAAACGAGAAATTGCAAATCGAAAAATTGAATAAATTAAAAACTGAAAAATCGTAAACCGTATAAAAAGTGAAATAATAAAGAACCAAAGACTTGAAAAATTAAAAATTCAATTTTTTCTCAAAACAAAAGAAATTTTAAATGAAAAACTGCAAAATCTAAAAATTGAAAAATTGAATAAATTAAAATTGAAAAAATAAAAATTATAGTAATTCTGTTTAAGCCTTATAAAAATTCCCTCGCCCCTGAAGTAACCAATTCTGCATTTTATCATTTTTCTGTTTCTTCAGTTTCCAAGTTTAATTTTTTAGTTCTTCAATTTTCCAAATTTGAATTTTTCGATTTGAGTTTTCAGTTCTTAATTGTTCATTTTTTCGATCTGCAATTTTTCGTTTCGTTTTTTCTTTCTTTATTTTTCCAATTTCTCGAGTTTTTAATTTTTAATTCTTCAATTTTTCGATTTTCTAATTTTGCAGCTCTTCAAATTTTTGATTTGGAATTCTTCTTTCTGTAATTTTTAAGTTTTCAGGTTTAAATTTTTCAGGTTTTCAATTTTCCAACTCTTAAATTTTTCAGTTTTTAGGTGTCGCAATGTTTGGATTCGAGTTTTTCGTGTTTTCAATTCTTTTTTTTTATTTATGGGTGTGCAATTTTTCGTTTCCATTTTTTTATTTATCCGATTTTTCAACATTTCTGTTTTATAATTTTTGTTTTTGCAATTTTAATTTTTTCAATTTTTCGTTTCTTCAATTTTTGGATTTCGCAATTTTTCCATTTAGTCTCTCCGAGTTTCCATTGTTAAATTTTTCAGTTTTCCGATTTCCCAACTGTTGGATGTTTCAATTTTTAATTTTTCATTTTTCGTTTTTTCAATATTCTGATTTGATACATTTTTTTTTTCGATTTTTTATAAATTTTCGTTTCTTCAATTTTTTGAGTTCTAATTTTTCAATTTTTTGCTTCAATTTTTCATTTCTTCAATTGTGAAAGAATGCGGAACTTTTTGAAAAATTTTATTTTTATTTTTTAAAAAGTTGCCCAAAAATCCAAAAAAATTCTGGGACAGATTTCAACGTGCTGTGAATGTAATTTTTGAATATCATCAACTTGATCAAAAACTTGAAAAATTGAAGAAACTAGAAACTGAAAATCGAAAAATGAAAAATTGAGAAACTCGAAAAGGAAAAAGTGCAAAATCCAAAAATCGAAATATACAATTATTGAAAGATGAAAAATTTGAAATAAAAATATCGAGAAATTGAAAAAATAAGAATCAGAAAATTGGAAAATCGAATAAAAGAAAATTCTAAAAGCCAATAACTGAAAAATGGAAACATTTTTAAATCGTAAAATCGAAAAAGTGGAAATTTAAAAAAATTGTAATACTTATTCTGCCTACATTTGAAATGAAAACTAGAAAAATTGCAAAATCATGAAGCTGAAATATGTAAGATTGGAGAAAACGAAAACCTGAAAACCGAAAAATGAAAAAATCCAAAAATTGAAAGATTTCAAATTGAAAAATAAATTGTAAAATATTGAAAAACCGAAAATTTGAAATTAAGAAAGTAAATAAGAAACCGAAACGAGAAATTGCAAATCGAAAAATTGAATAAATTAAAAACTGAAAAATCGTAAACCGTATAAAAAGTGAAATAATAAAGAACCAAAGACTTGAAAAATTAAAAATTCAATTTTTTCTCAAAACAAAAGAAATTTTAAATGAAAAACTGCAAAATCTAAAAATTGAAAAATTGAATAAATTAAAATTGAAAAAATAAAAATTATAGTAATTCTGTTTAAGCCTTATAAAAATTCCCTCGCCCCTGAAGTAACCAATTCTGCATTTTATCATTTTTCTGTTTCTTCAGTTTCCAAGTTTAATTTTTTAGTTCTTCAATTTTCCAAATTTGAATTTTTCGATTTGAGTTTTCAGTTCTTAATTGTTCATTTTTTCGATCTGCAATTTTTCGTTTCGTTTTTTCTTTCTTTATTTTTCCAATTTCTCGAGTTTTTAATTTTTAATTCTTCAATTTTTCGATTTTCTAATTTTGCAGCTCTTCAAATTTTTGATTTGGAATTCTTCTTTCTGTAATTTTTAAGTTTTCAGGTTTAAATTTTTCAGGTTTTCAATTTTCCAACTCTTAAATTTTTCAGTTTTTAGGTGTCGCAATGTTTGGATTCGAGTTTTTCGTGTTTTCAATTCTTTTTTTTTATTTATGGGTGTGCAATTTTTCGTTTCCATTTTTTTATTTATCCGATTTTTCAACATTTCTGTTTTATAATTTTTGTTTTTGCAATTTTAATTTTTTCAATTTTTCGTTTCTTCAATTTTTGGATTTCGCAATTTTTCCATTTAGTCTCTCCGAGTTTCCATTGTTAAATTTTTCAGTTTTCCGATTTCCCAACTGTTGGATGTTTCAATTTTTAATTTTTCATTTTTCGTTTTTTCAATATTCTGATTCCAACTCTTAAATTTTTCAGTTTTTACATGTCGCAATGTTTGGATTCGAGTTTTTCGTGTTTTCAATTCTTTTTTTTTTATTTATGGGTGTGCAATTTTTCGTTTCTATTTTTTTATTTATTCGATTTTTCAACATTTTTTTTTGATAATTTTTTAATTTTTTCAATTTTTCGTTTCTTCAATTTTTTGATTTCGCAATTTTTCCATTTAAAGTCTCTCCGAATTTCCATTGTTAAATTTTTCAGTTTTCCGATTTCCCAACTGTTGGATGTTTCAATTTTTAATTTTTCATTTTTCGTTTTTTCAATATTCTGATTTGATACATATTTTTTTTCGATTTTTTATAAATTTTCGTTTCTTCAATTTTTATTTTGTAATTTTTCTAGTTTTTATTTTATTAATGATAATAATTTAAAAAAATCGTTTTTGCACCTTCACGATGACTTTGAAACTTTTTCGTTTATTCGACTTTTCAATTTTTTGATTTCTAATTTTCCAATTTTTTGCTTCAATTTTTCATTTCTTCAAATTCTCGATTAGCAATTATTTTCTTTACTTTTACGATTTTTCGATGTTTCAGTGTTCTAGTTTTATAACCGTTTTTAACTGAAATTTTTCAATTTTTCGATTTTTCATTTTTTTACTTTATTTTTTCGGTTTTCATTTTTTGTTTCTCTAATTTTACGACACACAACTCTTCGAAATTTCATTGTTAAATTTTTCGGTTTTTCGTTCTTCCAACAAATATCCAATGTTGCAATTTTAAATTTTTCAATTTTTGGATTTTTCAATTTTTCGTGTCTACAGTTTTTCTTTTTCGCTTTTTATAGTCTTTATTTTTTCAATTTTTCGATTTTTCAATATTCTGATTTTATTATTTTTCGTTTTTTTATTTTATTTTTTCAGTTTTTCAATTGTTGAATTTTTCAATTTTTCATGTCTTTAGTTTTTCGACTTTTCTTTTTTGCTTTTTAGTCTTCATTTTTTTAAATTTTTCGGTTTTTCGATATTCTGATTTTGTTATGTTTCTCTTTTTAATTAAAAAATTTTTCAATTTTTTTATTTTTCAACTTTTAGGTTATTCAATTTCTCGATTTTTCAATCTTTTGTTTTTCAATTTTTGATTTGCGTGTTCCAATTTTCGTTTTAAACATTTAATAATAATAACTATAATAATAACAAACAATTTAAAATTGTTTTGACTTTTTCAGCTTTACGATTTTATCATTTTTCCATTTTTCAATTATTAGATTTAACACTTTTTCATTTATTCTTTTTTTCAATTTTTTTATTTTTAATTTCTCAATTTCTGTATATTTAATTCACAATTTTGAATTGTTCCATTTTTCTGTTTAAGTCTGACCCGACTTATTCTGACTTAACTGGATCTACCTAACGTGATCAGACTTAACTTTCTGATCTATCCTGGCCTGACTTAACATTTTTCAAAATGTTTCCGAAAAATGGTTAAAATTTTTCTCTCATTTTTCCAAGAAACCATAAACTCGAAACAAAAACGGAGACCGCCGACAATTACGGTTATTTACTATTGTTTCTGCTTGTTTTCGAACTTTGATTCTTTTTTAAGTGTTAAACAATTTTCTTTGAGACCTTATAATATAAAATAATTCTGCAACTTGGAGAGCAATAAGTCAAACGAACTGATAATAAACGTTTAACTTTATTCGATAATCGTTTACTTGAAAAATAATTTTTAAGACAATTGTTTATACGATAGATTTAATCCAATGTCTACACACAGAACTATAAAGTATTTCAGATTTTCTATTTACGGATTCAATTTTGTCTTAGTTTCTTTTTTGTATTGACGGACGACGTTCCAAACAACTAACGTTCTTCATAATCTACATATGGCATATGTTTGACAGTTGGAATGATTTAAACATTAGAGATTTTTTAGAGAAATCGTCTACAAATTAAGGAAATCGCGTTCGAACGGTTTATTAGTTCTGCAGCAATTTATGGCGACAAAATATCCACAAATCTAATGTAATCTGTTTACTCGCTTTTAAAATTTCAGTTCAATTGAATTTGTTTTTGGCTTTTACCTAAATTATAGCTGGTAAATGAATGATCAAAACAAATTTGTAAAATGCTGACACGAATTTAATTAAAACAGAATATGTGAACACACCTAAAAAAAGATCAAGAACAGTAACAGAATTTTTCAAAATATAATAAAAGTGACAAGTGGTATCGCTAATGCACGTGGCCGTAATTCAAACTTTCGAACTTTCTGTATGTGTACTTAATGAATGTTCCCGCAGGGAAGAGTTAATATAAAAATCTATACTCGTTACGCTCATATTTTCCGGATAATAAAAACGTGCTCTATAAATTATAGCGTAAATATTTTTATTACACAAGTAAACGGTAAAGACTCCCACGAAAAATATTATAAAGTTTATATTGTTAATCGGATTTCGAGTGCGTTCGTTACGACGTAATGAAAGTTATTAAAGACCGTCCGGGTTAATTAGGAAGTGTGTTAACCCCCGTTTACACAAACCGGAGAAAATTGGATAACAATTATTTGCGATTATGTGGGGCATTTTATAAACTTGTTGCCTCTCCTTAACGTGGAAAAACTCCGTAAACAATTCGGAATTTCCCGTCGTCTTTTAGTTTTGACACTTCTTCGCTATATAAATTACCGAAAAACCGCCTCAATACAATTAATGTCCCCCATCTTGGAAGCGCCGTTGTCTCAATGCAAATTCTTGACAGACGGACTCCTTTCTCACCTCATGAATTCCTTAATTGAATCGATGACGCATAAACAACCATCACGAAATGAAAAAGAAAATCCGGCGAAAACCCATCCCGGAGAAAATTTTTCATTTACGATCTCGGCGCCAACGTGAAAGCTTCAATATTACAGGAAGTATTATGTGTTTGTGAGGGCTTTATATAAATTTTAGTGGTATTACCTACGCCATATTTTATTCAGCGTTCGTTCTCGCGCGATTTTTCGGCATGAGGAATCCGACTCGCCGGTGGCAGGCCGGATTTGGGATTCCGATAACGGATCGTATTGGCTGTGCAGCGAATCACGGCGAGTTTCGTTTTAAAACCCGCATAAAACTGTTATAAAACCGGAAGCAAATCGTTTGTGTAAAGTGTCGCGTGCAGGTGACTTTGGCACTTTGTTCGAGAATTTAATTTTTAAAGTTGCATAAAAGTGTCATAAAACTTTTCTTCGGAGTTAAATACACATTGTAAAGAGCGGATTTTAAGCAAAAATCGTATATTCGTTAAAATTTGCATAACAAGTTATGACCGATTCTCAGTCGATCGAATTCATTTTAACAATTTTTTTTTTGGAAAAATTTTGAAAATTGTAAGTCAGGTCAGTCAGATCAAGTCAGGTCAGATCAAGTCGAGTCAGAATAAATCAAATTAGATCTACCCTATAGGCTTATAAAACTTAAACAGAACCTTCAAAATCTAGAAGGATTTCACAACAAGATCAAAATCAAGTCAAGTCAGGTTAGGTCCCATCAAGTCATACTTGGTCAGATCGGACCAAGTTATGTCAAGTGAGGACAGATCAGAAAGTCAAGTTTGATAAAGCAGTCTGGTCATAATAAGTCAAGTCAGATACAGTTCATAAACTTATATGTAATATTTAAAACAGAACCTTCAAAATGTAGATAAATTTCATAATAAGGTCAAGTCACATCAGATTTGATCAAGTCATGTTAAGTCAGGTTAATATCTACACTTAGACACCAATTCTCAGTTGACTTGTAAGTCAGGTCAGTCAGGACAAGAGGGATCAGGAAGTCAGGTCTGATCACGTCAGGTCAGATCCAGTCAAATCAGATCGAATCAGGTCAGGACAGAAAAAAGTCATGTCTGATCAAGTCAGGTCCCAATAAGTCAGGTTGGATCAAGCTTACAAGCTTATAAGACTTAAACAGAACTACTATAATTTTTTATTTTTTCAATTTAAATTTATTCAGTTTTTGGTTCTTTAGTTTTACCGTGCGATTTTTCAGTTTTTCATTTTTCTTGTTTCTTCAAATTTAACATCTACAATTTTTTTATTTAAAATTTTATAGTTTTCAATTTTTAATTTGTCAGTTTTTAGATCCTTTAATTTTTCATTTCTTCAAATTTTTCGTTCCGATTTTTTATTTTCTTTATATATAGAATTTTTAATTTCAAAATCTTTGTTTTTTCAATTTTTCATTTTTTACGATATGTAGCTTCTCGAGGTTTCATTTTAAAGTTTTTCAGTTTTCCCATGTTACAACTTTTGGACGTTTCTACTTTTAGATCTTACAATTTTTCCATCTGGAATTTCACGGGTTTTCAATTTTTTATTTTTCAATGTTTCCTGTCTTTAATTTGTTGATTTACATTTTTTCGTTTTGGATTTTGATTTTTTTTGTTTTTTTTCAATTTTTCGATTTTTCAACTTTTAGATTTTTTTATTTTTCTTTTTTTCCACTTTTTCGTTTCTTCTTTATTTGCGTTTTTCGTTTACTCAGTTTTTCAATTTTTCAGTTTTTCGAATCAAAAAAATGGAAAAATTGTACAGCAATTAACGGAAAATATCTACAATTTGGCGAAAATTCTAAGCGATTAAACCTACTTTAACCATTTTTTTTGAAAAATTTTGAAAATTGTAAGCTTACTTTTCATGGTTTGAATTATTTATAATTTGACACCAATAATTCTCAACTGATTGAACACGTTTAAATTTTTTTTTTAATTTGAAAATTGTACTCAGGTCATTCAGGACAGGAGATATAAAAAAAATACAGGTCAGATCCAGTCGGGTCAGATCAAGGCAGGTCAGATCAAGTCAGGTGAGATCAGGTCAGGTCAGGTCAGGTCAGGTCAGGTCAGATCAAGTCGGATCAGATCAAGTCAGGTCAGATACAGTTCATAAACTTATATGTAATATTTAAAACGGAACCTTCAAAGTCTAGATAAATTTCATAAAAGGTCAAGTCACATCAGATTTGATCAAGTCATGTTAAGTCAGGTTAATATCTACACTTAGACACCAATTCTCAGTCGACTTGTAAGTCAGGTCAGTCAGGACAAGAGGGATCAGGAAGTCAGGTCTGATTACGTCAGGTCAGATCCAGTCAAATCAGATCGAATCAGGTCAGGACAGAAAAAAGTCATGTCTGATCAAGTCAGGTCCCAATAAGTCAGGTTGGATCAAGCTTACAAGCTTATAAGACTTAAACAGAACTACTATAATTTTTTATTTTTTCAATTTAAATTTATTCAGTTTTTGGTTCTTTAGTTTTACCGTGCGATTTTTCAGTTTTTCATTTTTCTTGTTTCTTCAAATTTAACATCTACAATTTTTTTATTTAAAATTTTATAGTTTTCAATTTTTAATTTGTCAGTTTTTAGATCCTTTAATTTTTCATTTCTTCAAATTTTTCGTTACGATTTTTCATTTTCTTTATATTTACAATTTTTTATTTTAAAATCTTTGTTTTTTCAATTTTTCATTTTTTTTACGATATGTAACTTCTCGAGGTTTCATTTTAAAGTTTTTCAGTTTTCCATGTTACAACTTTTGGATGTTTCTACTTTTAGATCTTACAATTTTCCCATTTGGAATTTCACGGGTTTTCAATTTTTTATTTTTCAATTTTTCCTGTCTTGAATTTGTTGATTTACATTTTGTCGTTTTGGATTTTTATTTTCTTTGTTTTTTTTTCAATTTTTCGATTTTTCAACTTTTAGATTTTTTCATTTTTCTTTTTTTCCACTTTTTCGTTTCTTCTTTATTTGCGTTTTTCGTTTTTTCAGTTTTTCAATTTTTCAGTTTTTCGAATCAAAAAAATGGAAAAATTGCACAGCAATTAACGGAAAATATCTACAATTTGACGCCAATTCTAGGACGATTAAATCTACTGTAACCATTTTTTTTTAATTTTGAAAATTGTAAGCTTACTTTTCATGGTTTGAATGTACGTCATGACGCCGATTTCGGATTCGTAATTAGCTAAAAATTATTTATAATTTGACACCAATAATTCTCAACTGATTGAACACGTTTTAAACTTTTTTTTAATTTGGCTAATTACGACAGGTCAGATCCAGTCGTGTCAGATCAAGGCAGGTCAGATCAAGTCAGGTAAGATCAGGTCAGGTCAGATCAAGTCGGATCAGATCAAGTCAGGTTAGATCAAGCTTATAAGACTTCGACAGAAGTTTCAAAATCTAAATAGATTTCTCAATTTGGTTAAGTCACGTCAGATCAAGTCAAGTTATGCCAAGTCAGATCAAATCAAGTCAAGTGAGGACAGATCAGAAAATCAAGTTCATAAACATATAAGATTTAAAACGAAACCTTCAAATTCTAGAAAAATTTCACAATAAGGTCAAGTCACGTTAGATCAAATCAAGTCAGACACGTCCCGTCAAGTCTTATCTGGTCAAATCGGATTAGGATAGACCAGAAATTCAATTCTGATCAATTTAGGTCAGTTCAAGTCGAGTCAGAATAAATCAAATTAGATCTACCCTATAGGCTTATAAGACTTAAACAGAACCTTCAAAATCTAGAAAGATTTCACAAGATCAAGATCAAGTCAAGTCAGGTTAGGTCCCATCAAGTCATACTTGGTCATATCGGGCCTAGTTTTGTGAAGTACGATCAAATCAGGTCAAGTGAGGACAGATCAGAAAGTCAAGTTTGATAAAGCAGTCTGGTCATAATAAGTCAGGTCAGATACAGTTCATAAACTTATATGTAATATTTAAAACGGAACCTTCAAAATCTAGATAAATTTCATAAAAGGTCAAGTCACATCAGATTTGATCAAGTCATGTTAAGTCAGGTTAATATCTACACTTAGACACCAATTCTCAGTTGACTTGTAAGTCAGGTCAGTCAGGACAAGAGGGATCAGGAAGTCAGGTCTGATCACGTCAGGTCAGATCCAGTCAAATCAGATCGAATCAGGTCAGGACGGAAAAAAGTCATGTCTGATCAAGTCAGGTCCCAATAAGTCAGGTTGGGTCAAGCTTACAAGCTTTAAGACTTAAACAGAACTACTATAATTTTTAATTTTTCGATTTAAATTTATTCAGTTTTTGGTTCTTTAGTTTTACCGTGCGATTTTTCAGTTTTTCATTTTTCTTGTTTCTTCAAATTTAACATCTACAATTTTTTTTTTCTAAAATTTTATAGTTTTCAATTTTTAATTTGTCAGTTTTTAGATCCTTTAATTTTTCATTTCTTCAAATTTTTCGCCCGATTTTTCATTTTCTTTATATTTACAATTTTTAATTTTAAAATCTTTGTTTTTTCAATTTTTCATTTTTTTTACGATATGTAACTTCTCGAGGTTTCATTTTAAAGTTTTTCAGTTTTCCCATGTTACAACTTTTGGATGTTTCTACTTTTAGATCTTACAATTTTTCCATCTGGAATTTCACGGGTTTTCAATTTTTTATTTTTCAATTTTTCCTGTCTTTAATTTGTTGATTTACATTTTTTCGTTTTGGATTTTTATTTTCTTTGTTTTTTTTCAATTTTTCGATTTTTCAACTTTTAGATTTTTTTATTTTTCTTGTTTTCCACTTTTTCGATTCTTCTTTATTTGCGTTTTTCGTTTTCTCAGTTTTTCAATTTTTCAGTTTTTCGAATCAAAAAAATGGAAAAATTGCACAGCAATTAACGGAAAATATCTACAATTTGACGCCAATCCTAGGACGATTAAATCTACTGTAACCATTTTTTTTTTATATTGAAAATTGTAAGCTTACTTTTCATGGTTTGAATGTACGTCATGACGCCGATTTCGGATTCGTAATTAGCTAAAAATTATTTATAATTTGACACCAATAATTCTCAACTGATTGAACACGTTTTAAACTTTTTTTTAATTTGGCTAATTACGACAGGTCAGATCCAGTCGGGTCAGATCAAAGCAGGTCAGATCAACTCAGGTAAGATCAGGTTAGGCCAGATCAAGTCGGATCAGATCAAGTCAGGTTAGATCAAGCTTATAAGACTTAAACAGAAGTTTTAAAATCTAAATAGATTTCTCAATTTGGTTAAGTCACGTCAGATCAAGTCAAGTTATGTCAAGTCAGATCAAATCAAGTCAAGTGAGGACAGATCAGAAAATCAAGTTCATAAACATATAAGATTTAAAACGAAACCTTCAAATTCTAGAAAAATTTCACAATCAAGTCAAGTCAGGTTAGGTCCCATCAAGTCATACTTGGTCAGATCGGACCAAGTTATGTCAAGTGAGGACAGATCAGAAAGTCAAGTTTGATAAAGCAGTCTGGTCATAATAAGTCAAGTCAGATACAGTTCATAAACTTATATGTAATATTTAAAACGGAACCTTCAAAGTCTAGATAAATTTCATAAAAGGTCAAGTCACATCAGATTTGATCAAGTCATGTTAAGTCAGGTTAATATCTACACTTAGACACCAATTCTCAGTTGACTTGTAAGTCAGGTCAGTCAGGACAAGAGGGATCAGGAAGTCAGGTCTGATCACGTCAGGTCAGATCCAGTCAAATCAGATCGAATCAGGTCAGGACAGAAAAAAGCCATGTCTGATCAAGTCAGATCCCAATAAGTCAAGTTGGATCAAGCTTACAAGCTTATAAGACTTAAACAGAACTACTATAATTTTTTATTTTTCGATTTAAATTTATTCAGTTTTTGGTTCTTTAGTTTTACCGTGCGATTTTTCAGTTTTTCATTTTTCTTGTTTCTTCAAATTTAACATCTACAATTTTTTTATTTAAAATTTTATAGTTTTTAATTTTTAATTTGTCAGGTTTTAGATCCTTTAATTTTTCATTTCTTCAAATTTTTCGTTCCGATTTTTCATTTTCTTTATATTTACAATTTTTAATTTTAAAATCTTTGTTTTCTCAATTTTTCATTTTTTTACGATATGTAACTTCTCGAGGTTTCATTTTAAAGTTTTTCAGTTTTCCCATGTTACAACTTTTGGATGTTTCTACTTTTAGATCTTAAAATTTTTCCATCTGGAATTTCACGGGTTTTTAATTTTTTATTTTTCAATTTTTCCTGTCTTTAATTTGTTGATTTGCATTTTTTCGTTTTGGATTTTTATTTTCTTTGTTTTTTTTCAATTTTTCGATTTTTCAACTTTTAGATTTTTTTATTTTTCTTGTTTTCCACTTTTTCGATTCTTCTTTATTTGCGTTTTTCGTTTTCTCAGTTTTTCAATTTTTCAGTTTTTCGAATCAAAAAAATGGAAAAATTGTACAGCAATTAACGGAAAATATCTACAATTTGACGCCAATTCTATCTAGGACGATTAAATCTACTTTAATCATTTTTTTTTAGTTTTGAAAATTGTAAGCTTACTTTTCATGGTTTGAATGTACGTCATGACGCCGATTTCGGATTCGTAAATAGCTGAAAATTATTTATAATTTGACACCAATAATTCTCAACTGATTGAACACGTTTTAAACGTTTTTTTAGTTTGGCTAATTACGACAGGTCAGATACAGTCGTGTCAGATCAAGGCAGGTCAGATCAAGTCAGGTAAGATCAGGTCAGGTCAGATCAAGTCGGATCAGATCAAGTCAGGTTAGATCAAGCTTATAAGACTTCGACAGAAGTTTCAAAATCTAAATAGATTTCTCAATTTGGTTAAGTCACGTCAGATCAAGTCAAGTTATGCCAAGTCAGATCAAATCAAGTCAAGTGAGGACAGATCAGAAAATCAAGTTCATAAACATATAAGATTTAAAACGAAACCTTCAAATTCTAGAAAAATTTCACAATAAGGTCAAGTCACGTTAGATCAAATCAAGTCAGACACGTCCCGTCAAGTCATATCTGGTCAAATCGGATTAGGATAGACCAGAAATTCAATTCTGATCAATTTAGGTCAGTTCAAGTCGAGTCAGAATAAATCAAATTAGATCTACCCTATAGGCTTATAAGACTTAAACAGAACCTTCAAAATCTAGAAAGATTTCACAAGATCAAGATCAAATCAAGTCAGGTTAGGTCCCATCAAGTCATACTTGGTCATATCGGGCCAAGTTTTGTGAAGTCAGATCAAATCAGGTCAAGTGAGGACAGATCAGAAAGTCAAGTTTGATAAAGCAGTCTGGTCATAATAAGTCAGGTCAGATACAGTTCATAAACTTATATGTAATATTTAAAACGGAACCTTCAAAGTCTAGATAAATTTCATAAAAGGTCAAGTCACATCAGATTTGATCAAGTCATGTTAAGTCAGGTTAATATTTGCACTTAGACACCAATTCTCAGTTGACTTGTAAGTCAGGTCAGTCAGGACAAGAGGGATCAGGAAGTCAGGTCTGATCACGTCAGGTCAGATCCAGTCAAATCAGATCGAATCAGGTCAGGACAGAAAAAAGCCATGTCTGATCAAGTCAGATCCCAATAAGTCAGGTTGGATCAAGCTTACAAGCTTGTAAGACTTAAACAGAACTACTATAATTTTTAATTTTTCGATTTAAATTTATTCAGTTTTTGGTTCTTTAGTTTTACCGTGCGATTTTTCAGTTTTTCATTTTTCTTGTTTCTTCAAATTTAACATCTACAATTTTTTTATTTAAAATTTTATAGTTTTCAATTTTTAATTTGTCAGTTTTTAGATCCTTTAATTTTTCATTTCTTCAAATTTTTCGTTCCGATTTTTTATTTTTTTTATATTTAGAATTTTTAATTTTAAAATCTTTGTTTATTCAATTTTTCATTTTTTTACGATATGTAACTTCTCGAGGTTTCATTTTAAAGTTTTTCAGTTTTCCCATGTTACAACTTTTGGATGTTTCTACTTTTAGATCTTACAATTTTTCCATCTGGAATTTCACGGGTTTTCAATTTTTTATTTTTCAATTTTTCCTGTCTTTAATTTGTTGATTTACATTTTTTCGTGTTGGATTTTTATTTTCTTTGTTTTTTTTTTCAATTTTTCGATTTTTCAACTTTTAGATTTTTTATTTTTCTTTTTTCCACTTTTTCGATTCTTCTTTATTTGCGTTTTTCGTTTTCTGAGTTTTTCAATTTTTCAGTTTTTCGAATCAAAAAAATGGAAAAATTGCACAGCAATTAACGGAAAATATCTACAATTTGACGCCAATTCTAGGACGATTAAATCTACTGTAACCATTTTTTTTTAATTTTGAAAATTGTAAGCTTACTTTTCATGGTTTGAATGTACGTCATGACGCCGATTTCGGATTCGTAATTAGCTAAAAATTATTTATAATTTGACACCAATAATTCTCAACTGATTGAACACGTTTTAAACGTTTTCTTAATTTGGCTAATTACGACAGGTCAGATCCAGTCGTGTCAGATCAAGGCAGGTCAGATCAAGTCAGGTAAGATCAGGTCAGGTCAGATCAAGTCGGATCAGATCAAGTCAGGTTAGATCAAGCTTATAAGACTTCGACAGAAGTTTCAAAATCTAAATAGATTTCTCAATTTGGTTAAGTCACGTCAGATCAAGTCAAGTTATGTCAAGTCAGATCAAATCAAGTGAGGACAGATCAGAAAATCAAGTTCATAAACATATAAGATTTAAAACGAAACCTTCAAATTCTAGAAAAATTTCACAATAAGGTCAAGTCACGTTAGATCAAATCAAGTCAGGCACGTCCCGTCAAGTCATATCTGGTCAAATCGGATTAGGATAGACCAGAAATTCAATTCTGATCAAGTTAGGTCAGTTCAAGTCGAGTCAGAATAAATCAAATTAGATCTACCCTATAGGCTTATAAGACTTAAACAGAACCTTCAAAATCTAGAAAGATTTCACAAGATCAAGATCAAATCAAGTCAGGTTAGGTCCCATCAAGTCATACTTGGTCATATCGGGCCAAGTTTTGTGAAGTCAGATCAAATCAGGTCAAGTGAGGACAGATCAGAAAGTCAAGTTTGATCAAGCAGTCTGGTCATAATAAGTCAGGTCAGATACAGTTCATAAACTTATATGTAATATTTAAAACGGAACCTTCAAAGTCTAGATAAATTTCATAAAAGGTCAAGTCACATCAGATTTGATCAAGTCATGTTAAGTCAGGTTAATATCTACACTTAGACACCAATTCTCAGTTGACTTGTAAGTCAGGTCAGCAGGACAAGAGGGATCAGGAAGTCAGGTCTGATCACGTCAGGTCAGATCCAGTCAAATCAGATCGAATCAGATCAGGACAGAAAAAAGTCATGTCTGATCAGGTCAGGTCCCAATAAGTCAGGTTGGATCAAGCTTACAAGCTTATAAGACTTAAACAGAACTACTATAATTTTTTATTTTTTCAATTTAAATTTATTCAGTTTTTGGTTCTTTAGTTTTACCGTGCGATTTTTCAGTTTTTCATTTTTCTTGTTTCTTCAAATTTAACATCTACAATTTTTTTATTTAAAATTTTATAGTTTTCAATTTTTAATTTGTCAGTTTTTAGATCCTTTAATTTTTCATTTCTTCAAATTTTTCGTTCCGATTTTTCATTTTTTTTATATTTAGAATTTTTAATTTTAAAATCTTTGTTTTTTCAATTTTTCATTTTTTTACGATATGTAACTTCTCGAGGTTTCATTTTAAAGTTTTTCAGTTTTTCCATTTTACAGCTTTTGGATGTTTTTACTTTTAGATCTTACAATTTTTCCATCTGCAATTTCACGAGTTTTCAATTTTTTATTTTTCAATTTTTCCCGTCTGTAACTTGCCGATTTACATTTTTTCGTTTTGGATTTTTATTTTCTTTGTTTTTTTCAATTTTTCGATTTTTCAACTTTTAGATTTTTTTCCACTTTTTCGTTTCTTCTTTATTTGCGTTTTTCGTTTTTTCAGTTTTTCAATTTTTCAGTTTTTCGAATCAAAAAAATGGAAAAATTGTACAGCAATTAACCGAAAATATCTACAATTTGACGAAAATTCTAGGGCGATTAAACCTACTTTAACCATTTTTTTTTGAAAAATTTTGAAAATTGTAAGCTTACTTTTCATGGTTTGAATTATTTATAATTTGACACCAATAATTCTCAACTGATTGAACACGTTTAATTTTTTTTTTAATTTGAAAATTGTATGACCGGACAGGAGATATAAAAAAATACAGGCTAATTACGACAGGTCAGATCCAGTCGGGTCAGATCAAGGCAGGTGAGATCAAGTCAGGTGAGATCAGGTCAGGTCAGGTCAGGTCAGGTCAGGTCAGGTCAGATCAAGTCGGATCAGATCAAGTCAGATTAGATCAAGCTTATAAGCTTATAAGACTTAAACAGAAGTTTCAAAATCTAAATAGATTTCTCAATTTGGTTAAGTCACGTCAGATCAAGCCAACTTATGTCAAGTCAGATCAAATCAAGTCAAGTGGGGACAGATCAGAAAATCAAGTTCGATCAAGCAGTCAGGTCAGAATAAGTCAAGTCAGATCAAGTTCATTAACTTATAATATTTAAAACGAAACCTTCAAATTCTAGACAAATTTCACAATAAGGTCAAGTCACGTTAGATCAAATCAAGTCAGACATGTCCCGTCAAGTCATATCTGGTCAAATCGGATCAGGATAGACCAGAAATTCAATTCTGATCAAGTTAGGTCAGCTCAAGTCAGCTCAGAATAAATCAAGTGACATCAAACTTTTAAACCTATAAAACTTAAATGGAACATTCAAAATCTAAATAAATTTCACAAGTCACATCACATCAAGTCGTGTTAAGTCAGGTTGATATATACACTTATACACTAATTCTCAGTCGATTTGTAAGTCAGGTCAGTCAGGACAGCAAAAATCAGGAAGTCAATTTTGATCACGACAAATCAGATGCACTCAGGGCAGATCAATCAAGTCAGGATAGAAATAAAGTCACGTCTGATCAGGTTATGTCAGAATATTATAAGTTTATGAGACTTAAACAGAACCTTCAAAATCTAGAACGATTTCACAATAAACTCAAGTCAAGTCAGGTTAAGTCCCGTAATACTTGGTCAGATCGAGTCAAGTTATGTTAAATCAGGTCAAATCAGGTCAGGTTTGGACAGATCAGAAAGTCAAGTTTGCTCAAGTCAGGTCAAAATAAGTCCAGTTAGATCAAGCTTATAACATTTAAAACGGAACCTTCAAAGTCCAGACAATATGGTCAAGTCACGTCAGATCATACCTAGTTAAATCGGTTCGAGGTATGTCAAGCCAGGTCAAATCAAGTCAGGTCAGGACAGATCAGAAAGTAAAGTCTTATCAAGTCAGATCAGCTCAGAAGAAGTCAAATTAGATCAAGCTTTTAAACTTATAAAACTTAAACAGAACCGTCAAAATCTAGACAAATTTCACAACAAGTCACATCAGATCAGATCAAGTCATGTTAAGTCAGGTTAATGTATACACTTAAGACACCAATTCTCAGTCGATTTGTAAGTCAGGACAGGAGAGATCAGAAAGTCAAATCTGATCAAATCAGGTCAGGATAGAAAAAAAGTCAAGTCTGATCAAGTCAGATCAGAATATTATAAGCTTAGGAGACTTAAACAGAACCCTCAAAATCTAGAAAGATTTCACAATAAAATCAAGTCACCAAGTCAGGTTAGGTCGCGTCAGGTCATACCTGGTCATATCGAGTCAAGTTATGTCAAGTCACGTCAAACCAGGTCAATTTTGGAGAGATTACAAAGTCAGGTTTGATCAAGTCACGTCAAAATAAGTCCAGGTAGATCAAGCTCTTAGGTCCCATTAAGTCATACCTGGTCAAATCGGATCGAGGTATGTCAAGTCAAGTCAAATCAAGTATTGCCAGGACAGATCAGAAAGTAAAGTCTTATCAAGTCAGGTCAGCTCAGAATAAGTCAAGTTAGATCAAACTTTTAAACTTATGTAAGTGAGATAAGTCAGGTTAGATCAAATCAGGTCAGGATAGAAAAAAAAATCACCTCTGATCAAGTCATGTCAAAATATAAGCTTATGAAACTTAAACAGAACCTTCAAAATCTAGGGAGAATTCACAATAAACTCAAGTCAAGTTAGGTGATATTTGGTCAATTCGAGTCACGTTATGTCAAGTGAAGCCAAATCAGGTCAGGTTGGGACAGATCAGAAAGTCAAGTTTGATCAAGCCACGTCAGAATAAGTTCAGTTAGATCAAGCTTATAAGGTCAAGTCCCGTCAGACCAAATCAAGTCAGACACCAATTCTCAATTGATTTGTAAGTCAGGTCAGTCAGGACAAGAGAGATCAGAAAGCCAGGTCTGATCACGTCAGATCAGATCAAATCAGGTCGGAAATGTCAGGTCGGGTTAACAATATCTATACTTAGACACTACATTTTAACCATCTTTTTTTAAATCTTGAAAATTGTACTCACTTTTCACGTTTATTTGTGTAAATGTTTAATATTAAATAATAAAGGTAACGAATTATCTTCATAAATGAAAAAGACGAATATCAGGTGAGCTCACCTGACTAGACTTGACCTGACCTGACCCGATTTGTCCAAATTTTGTAATAGAAAAATTAACTAGATACATGCGAATAATGTAAAAAATCATTAAAAAAATCACAGAATCAAATTTTATAAATTTTCGAAAAATTTCGTTAAGTGTAGGAGGAAATTTCTGTCAAGATAACACCTGTTATTTTTTTTTATTATGTTTAGTTTCAAGTTTCCAGCTCATAGAACACGCAAATGTCGATTTCCGTCTGCCGTCCGTCTATTATCAATTTTATTAGACAGAAAGCACTAAACTCGATGTTATGAAATTTTACAGTTTGTTTTAGAACTTATATAACGACTTTTCTGAAATTTTGCCAAGACTCAGTGATTACAAAACATCACCTAAATTTATTTATTCGTCCCCTTTAGAAAGTTGATGACGTCATTAATATGCCCCGAAATGCGGTGCTGTTTGGCTTGGTAATATAATTTACGCTCACAATTATTTATACAGGATGTCTCAAAAAACTAATGACTAAAACAAAACTATAATTTGCTCCACTTTTCACTTTTTAGTCGAAATAGAAAAATAGATTTCTTGAGTAGAGGTCGGCGTCTGGGTCAATTTTCCCTCCGATGGAGTCACATCTACGCAGTAAAATCGCAAACGGTCGCATAATATCCCGTCCGAACTTTTCCGTGGCCAAATTAACTTTTCCTTAAATCCCGGAAAATCCCTTCTTCACGGCCCCTAATAAAGTGCGTTAACCGGAATCGTCGCCGCGATAATGGAAAAATGATTATTCCAAGAACACAAACTATTTCCCCCGCAATCAATATATTAAGAGTGTTTTAACGAGTTTCCACGAGCTTTAAATTGAAACTCATCCGCCTGACGCCGTCAATTACTTTTATTTTTATAACTGGATAATAGCGGGCATAAAGGCGCATATTTTCATTAAAATGCGTCTGTTAACTCGCGATAATGCTCCTCGGGTGTGCATTATCTCGGCGAATCTCATCTCCGTCCATTAATTAAAAGTAAAACAGACCAAACCGAATAATTCCGGCACAGATCCAAGCAGAATTCGATAAACAGAAAAATTTATGGGGAGCGTGATTTATTAATAAATTTGAAAAAAACGGGAAGACGGAACAGATAGCGTGAGTAATGCGCCGAAATACATAGAAAACTATAGATAATCAGCTAAAAGTGTGGTTTATTGACAACGAACCCGTAAAAGTTGCTCTTCGAGCTTTGATGTGCAATATTTCCAACGAAAATTATTAGGTACACGGGTTATTAATTTTTTATTTACACCATAAAAAAGCAGCAGCCGACGTTGTTATATAATGCCTCCCCCCGGCCGTGTCGCGTTTATAAATAATTTACAGATCGATCTATTTTTATTCCCCATTATATTGTTTGCATTTCTACAATCATTAACACTAACGAAACCTAATAACTGGAGCGATGCCAGGGCGATGTGTACTTAATATTCGGACGTGTGTGGACCAGGGCCGGCTCGGGGACACCCTCACACTTGCGAGAAAAATTGGTCGAAGCTTATTTCGACAGAAATTCCCTCGCCTCTGAAGTACAGCCCAACAATTTTTTTTCTGATTTTTGGTTTCCGATAACCTCTATAAAACAAAAGCAACCAATTCTCCAATTTATCATTTTTTTGTTTCTTCAATTTTCCGATTTGCAATTTTTCGAGTTTCCAAGTTTAAATTTTAGCTCAATTTTCCAAATTTTGAATTTTTGGATCTGAATTTTTGAGATTTTAGTTCTTCTTTTTCAATGTTTCGATTTGCAATTTTTCGTTTCATTTCGTCTTTGCTTTCTTTATTTTTCCAATTTCTCGAGTTTTCAATTTTTCTTTCTTCAAATTTTCGATTTGGAACTTTTCGTTTTATTCTTTTTCCGTTTTTTCTGTTTCTTCAGTTTTTCGATTTGTAATTTTTTAGTTTCCAAGTTTAATTTTTCAGGTTTTCAATTTTCCAACTCTTAAATTTTTCAGTTTTGTTGCAATGTTTCGATTTGAGTTTCTCGAGTTTTTAATTTTTAATTTTTTAATTTGCGGATGTGCAATTTGTCGTTTCCATTTTTTATTTTCTTTATTTTTCTAATTATTCGATTTTTCAATATTTCCATTTTATAATTTTTTGTTTTTGCAATTTTAATTTTTTCACCTTTTCGTTTCTCCAATTTTTAGATTTTCCAGTTTGACGAGATTTTGTAAATTTTCGTATCTTCAATTTTTATTTTGTAATTTTTCTAGTTTTCATTTAATGTAAAAAATATGTCATTATTAATGATAATAATAAAAAAAGTCGCTTTAGCACGTTCACGATGACTTTGAAACTGCTTCCTTTATTCCACTTTTCAATTTTTTTATTTCTAATTTTCCAATTTTTTCCTTGAGTTTTTCGTTTCTTCAAATTCGCGATTAGCAATTTTTATTTTCGGTTTTTTATTTTCTTTAGTTTTACAATTTTTCGATGTTTCAATGTTCTAATTTTATAATTTTTCTTTTTTTAATCGTGAAATTTTTAAATTTTTTGATTTTCATTATTTTATTTTTTTAGTTTTTCATTTTTTATTTCTTTAATTTTGCGACATACAACTCTTCGAGATTTCATTGTTGAGTTTTTCAGTTTTTCGTTCTTCCAATTTTAAAATTTTTCAATTTTTGGATTTTTCAATTTTTCATTTTTTCAGTTTTTCAACTTACAATTTTTGTTTTTGGCTTTTTATAGACTTTATTTTTTCAATATTCTGATTTATTATTTTTCTTTTTTTTTAATTACGAAATTTTTCAATTTTTCGAGTTTTCAGTTCTTTGTTTTTCAATTTTTTATTTGCGTGTTATAATAGTTACAATGTTTCAATTTTTTTTGCTTCAATTCTTCGATTTGCAATTTTTCCACTTTTTCCATTTCGCAATTTTTCGATTTTTCAATAATTTACTGATTTTTTAGTTTTTCGATTTTTAATTTTCCGATTTTTCAGCTTTTCGAAAAAAAAATTGAAAAACTGTAAAACTGGAAAATCAAAAATGAAATAACGGAGAAACATTAAATGAAAACTTTGAAAATTCTAAAAATTGTAAATCGGGAATTTGAAAAATTGAAAAAACGAG